AATGGTAATAGTTTTTAATTAAGCACTTACTATGGGTTGGGCACTTTTTTTTTAAATTGAAATATAGTCTGTTTACAATGTTGTGTTAATTGCTGGTGTACAGCATAGTGATTCAGTTATACACATATGTATATTCCTTTTCATGTTCTTTTTCATTATAGGCTATTACAAACTATTGAATATGGTTCCCTGTGCTATACAGTGGGATCTTGTTGTTTATCAGTTTTATATATAGTAGTTAGTATCTGCAAATCCCAAACTCCCAATTTATCCCTCCACTGCCCGTCTTTACTACCTAGTAACCATAAGTTTGTTTTCTATTTGTAAGTCTGTTTCTGCTTTATAAATAAGCTTATTTGTGCCATTTTTTAAAAGATTACACATAAAAGTGATATCATATCGTATTTTTCCTTCTTTTTCTGGCTTACTTCACTTAGTATGATGATCTCCATGTCCATCCATATTGCTGCAAGTGGCATTATTTCATTCTTTTTTATGGCTGAGTAGTATTCCATTGTGTAAATGTACCACAACTTCTTCTTTATCCAATCATTTGCCATTGGACATTTCGGTTGTTTCCATGTCTTGGCTATTGTAAGTAGTGCTGCTATAAATATTGGGGTGCACATGTCTTTTTGAATTAGAGTTCCCTCAGGATATATGCCCAGGAATAGGATTGCTGGTGACTCTATTTTTAGTTTTTTGCAGAATCTCCACACTGTTTTCCATAGTGGCTACACGAAACTACATTCCCACCAACAGTATAGGAGGGTTTTCTTTTCTCCACACCCTCTCCAACATTTATTGCTTGTGGACTTTTTAATGATGGCCATTCTGACCTGTGTGAAGTGGTACCTCATTGTCATTTTAATTTGCATTTCTCTGGTTGTTAGTGATATTGAGCATTTCTTCGTGTGCCTATTGTGGACCAGGCACTTTGTGTGTGAAATTGTTTAGCCCAATGCCTGACTCTAATAAGTTCTGAATTAATGTTCATTATTATTATCATTCCAGTTTTGTCTTAGATGTATATGCCTTGCTCAGATGGACTCTGTGCTCTAGACTACCGGACCCTAATGGCCATTGCAAGGTGGTTGAGCATCTTATCTTTTTCTCTAAAACATCTGCAAGTTGTCATACTTTGTGGGCAGCTGGACTGGCAGTGCAGATTTCCAAGATCAGAGACAGCATGGCGTTGAGGAAGGAGCCCTTGAACTAGGAGTCAAGATCAGTTTAGTTCAGTGTACATTTATTGAGCACCTTCAGTATGTACCAGGCGCTAGAGAAACAAAGGAGCATTGAGAGTAGATCCCTGCCCTCTAGGGGCTTACACTTCTGTATGGATGGTGGACAAGTAAACAAATAAACAGAGCATGACATGTGCAGTAATGACTATAAACAAGGAATAGGGGAGCCACAAGACCTGAGTTCTGGCTCTGCCACTGGATGTGTGACCTTGACTCGTTATTCAACCTCTCTGGGCTCATGGACAGTGAGAATGGGGTAATTTCTAATCCCTCAAGTTCTAGCATCTACAATGCTCAAAACCCTGTGAGGTAGGCAGGGCAGACACGAGTTCTACTTCATGGAGGTGAAGCCTGGGGTGAGAGAGGTTTCACACAGCAGCCTGAGCTACAGAACTGCTCGTTGGTAGAAGAGCCAGCCCCAGACTAGACTCGGGCAGGTCTTCGGGGGCAGGCCTACGGAGTGTCCACTTCAGGCTGAGAGGTGGTATCTCTGATGGGCGGGGCAGGCTTTCTGGGTGCCCCCTGTTTGAATGCCAGACTTGCTCCCAGTTTGGAGCTCTTTACCCGCCTCCACCTCCACCCACTCCTGGTGTAAGCCCTCAGCAGACAGTGGGCATCTCTGAAAACCAGGTCGTCTTTCACAGACAGCACAGTGACATTCACATGGTTATCCTGGTGTCTCCGCACAGGACTGTTCCTTAGCCAATCCCAGGCATGATGGAAACGCTCCCTGGGCCTGGCTTCCCCTCACAGCTGGGCTCTGTGTATGATGCAAAGGATGTTTTGCAGACTGAGGCAGCTCTCCCTCAGGCCCCTGTGCTCTGGGCCACACCCACTCAGCCCTCCCAGTATGGGCATGCTTAGCGAATGTGAGTGAGCTCACTTAATTGAAGCAAAACAAATTAAAGAGTTCATCTTTACTGTGCCCCTAAAATCACGCCATGCCCACCAAAGCCAAAAAGACAAGGGCCAACCACTGCTGTCTCCCACCATGGCAAAGAGTTAAGAGATGACACTTGGCGGCAATCTTACTGTCATACACAACGGTTTTTTAGCACATGCCATGTGTGCTACAGAGAGGCTGACAACACACATTCCCTGCTATCCAGGGGCTTGTAATCGGATGGCAAGAGCAATCAGATGATGTGAAAGGATGAGTCACAGATGAAAAGTTTCAACAGACTGGGCCGTGTGAGAGACTCAGTCTTAAGTGCTGGAGGTGTTGGGGAGAGGGAGCGGTCACTGAGGGCTGCCACTGTCCTGGAAGGAGTCCCAGGGAGCCTCAAGCTGGGCCTTGAAGGGAGAGAAGGACAGAAGTCAGTGTCTGCGTTACCCACTCTGGGAAATTCACATGAAAACCATATGAAGAAGGTAAATGTGCCCAGAAAAGTAAATCGCCTGTGGGCACCCCAGTCCTTTCCCAAGGTGACTCCTTCCCTGCCAGGGACACACACAGACACCCTCCCCACCTCCCTCCTCAGAGCTGGCCTCAGTGCCTGGCTGGGCAGGGGACGTGCCTGCCACACAAGTGGCTTCCCATGGGCCCTGTGGGGATGAGCCTGGGTTCAGATCTTGCCTCCACGACCTCCTGGGTACGTGATGTGGAGCCAGACCCTAGACCTCCTGGAGCCTGTTTCCTCAACCCTAAGAATGGACCCATGCTGCCGACCTTGCGGGGTTATGGGAGGATTAGCACACTAGCGAACCCACCAGCACACGAACAAACATTGCCACCCGGGGGGGGGGCCTCCTTAGAAAATCCTCCCTGTCCCTCCGTCTTCACAAGGGACGTCTGCCGGTGGCCTGGGCTGCGCTCTCCCTCCTTCTGCCCACTCCCTGCCAGCTCCAAGGGCCACACCGAGGACAGGGCTGCGGTGTGGGTTCAAAACAACCCAGGGAGCGGCCTCCCGGGCTCCGAGCTAAGCACTCTCAACTCCAGGAGAGTCGCCTCAGAAAGGAAAAATCTCCCAAAGAGGCTGAGGAGTGGGACCGGCCGAGGGGTAGGGGGTCCCTTGGACCCACCTCCCCAACCCCGCCGGCGGCTCAGGAACCAGCGGGAAGCCCCGTCTCAGTGCTGCCGCGTGCGGCCGCCGGGAGCAACTGCACCGGGCTCCACGGCTCCGCCCGCCCACCCTGGCTCCGCCCAAGTGCGAGTGCGCGGGTAGCTGGCTGCTTTATAAACTTTGGCAGGATTTTCAAAGTTTCAGAAGTTTGGAGTGCCAGTGCTTTGTTTTGTTTGGATCTTGTGTTTTCTTCCTCGGTAGGAACCAGATTAAAAAAAAAAAAAAAAAAAACCTCTTAAAACGTTGGTGACCCAGGGTCAGAATTCCTTTAGCTTTGCAGAACCGATTGAGAATTGTCACGCGGTCCCAGGGCAAACCCAGGTTAGGAGAGCTTATCCGCCAGTGTGCTTTGAGATCCTCAGACAGCAGGCTGTGGAAACTCGAATAAGAAGATTCCAACGGCACGGGTTCCCGGCCCCAGCCTGCCCCGTGATGCCCTTCCTCCTACCTGAACCCCCAGGGCTACCTCCTCACGGTCTGGGGACCCTGCCGAGGCACACTTCTGTCACCTGTGGCAGCACTACCTCTCTCGGGGCATTTCTGGGAGATTTAATGAGGTGCCACGGGTAAGCAGTAAGCTAAGGCTTTTGAGACTCCTCATCTTTGAGGGGAAGATGCTGCTGAGAACCACAGGCCTGTATGTGACTGAGAACAGGTGTGGGTGAGAGACTCCCGCTCTCCCCACCCTCACCCAACCCAAGTAGCAGCAGCTGACCACTTGCTCAATCCCCACCCCTCAACACACTTCTGCACAGGGGCTGGAAGGCAGTGGGCTTCTTCCACCCGCCCCCCACAAGCCACCACCACCACCACCACCACACTGAGTCCCCCTTAACTTCTTTACTGCACACCCAGCTTCCCTGCTAGCTTCCCCATAAAGACAAAATATGAAACCACAAAATACCCATGTTTTACTAAGAATCTGCAAAGCATGCAGAACGGTCAACAAAACTATGTTGTCAGTTTTGTCTGCAAACTGACAGTAAAGGGACAGGGCAGAGCAAAGCAGGACCTGCTTTCCCTCTGAGCTATTTCCTGAAAATAGGCCAGGACCCAAATTCACACACGACGCTCCCGGCCAGGCTACCCGTATCTCAATGGGCCGGGGGCTTGCTCTGGGGCTCCACGCCTGTGTGTTGGGGAGGGTGGCACTTGCGGTCCCCACTTCCTCCCCAGGCAGACCGAGGGGGACAGGAAGGGGCCCTAGGACCTGCACAGACTCTTAGCTGACCCATCCTCTTTTCTGTAGCTCATCTGCCTGCTTTCTTCACCCCATCCTCCCTTAAGGCAGAGTAAGCATCCCTCGCCTGTGTTCCAGAACATTCGCATGCTTTCCGAGCTGTTTCCTCTGCTCCCTGTGTGCTCCTTGGGGAATAAAGCTGTTGATCCCCATGCCTGGTGTGGTGTCTGGCACGTGGTAGGTGTGAATAAATGTTTGTCATATTGAGTTGAATAGCAATGAAGGAGCCAGATGGAGCGCACCCCTGAGACATCTAAGAATAACTCAGTGGCCCAGCAACATTCGATGGTGCCCTGAGGCCACAGAACGTGGTTTTGGCCTTGTTTACTACACACCCTGCCTGCCACACGCCTCCACAGCTGGGTATCCACTGTGGCCCCACTAAGACGGGCCCCACTGCCCCTCCCCCAAGCCATGACCCTGGAACAAATGGTAGCCGACTTCTCTGGACACCTGTCATTTCTTTATTCCATCAGTGACCAACCAGCACAGCCGTACCACCACCAGGAGCCTGCCTGAGCCCCCAGGCGAGGCAAGGAGGTGGCTGCAGGGCCCAGGGGAGAGGAGGCTTCTCTGCCTGCCTCCCAGCATCCAGGAGACAAATGACTGGGGAGGGGTCGCGTCTGTGCGGAGATAGCACGGTCTGTGTCAGTCCCCACCCTTCCTCAAAGCACCACGGCCTGATGAGGAAGGAATGTTCCACTGTGGGGCCAGGGAGGGACATGTTGAGGTGACTGAGGGTGGACTCTGAGAGGGGACGTGTGCACACATAAGTGTCTGGGGGACAGGTGCCTACTGTGCTACTGAGCATGTGGGACTTCACTGCTGAGCCACAGGACCTGCCTGGGGCCAAGGAGACTGGGAACCAGGGCTCCAGGGCCTGGAAGAGGGCTCACTGGCAGAGGTCACCCTCCTCATGGCTTCGCCTTGGAGAGGAGCCTGAGGCTGGCAGGTCTCGGAGCCTGGCTAGAGGGCTACCTCTGGCCTGACCCACCTCACGTGTAGGCCATCTTGCTGCACACCCAGGGTCGGGTCATCAGACACTCCGTCGACACCAACCTGGTGGGCTCCACGAAGACACACTCCCCCGGGCCCGCAATGGGGAATCTGTGGCAGGAGAGAAGAGAACAGGCACTCGTGACCTGGCAGACACAGCCCGTCACTGGGCAGCCCCAGGGGCCCTGGAACTTGTCCCTCCCCCTGGAGCTGCCTTCCAGGACAGTTGGCCCCTCCTTTCTAGTGTGCCATCCTGTTGTCTCCTTCCTCTGTGTATCACTCCAGCCACCCTGGACATTCCTGGACGCAGTCTGCCCATCCCCATCATGCTTCCACATCCCGCCAGGCTCAGCCCTAGGAGCCTGGGCCCTGTCCCGGACCACCCTCCACTCACTTCCCTCCCCTCCCCCTCCCCACAGCGCCCTGCCTGCGCCCTCTGTGTCTAGCACAGGAGGAGCTTAGCAGAGATGAGCTGAGTGAAAGTATCCCACAGGTTAGGGGCGGACTTGGCTAACCCCGACGTGTAGCTCCTGGGCTGTGTTGCCCAGGAATCCACTGACATCATTCGTGGACCTGGGTTTGTATGTTGGGGGAGGGAGGTTCTCCCTGCCTAAAATCATCCCTTTGGAATGTCTAGATTTCTTCCTAACCTCAGCTGATCACCTTGACCTGAGCCCCCTGCCTAGTCAGGAGCTGGGCATCAGAGGACTTCAAGAGGCCAGGACCACCTTGGTGTCAGGAAGTGTGGCCCCAAGGCTATGCGTCTCCCTAAGCCTAAACCACACCCCCACACATACCAATACCACCCCCACTGCCATACCTCCTCCCCCACCCCCATGACTGCATGCCGTCACCCCACAAACCAGTCCCCGGCATCGCACACACGCTCACTTCCACACCACTTGCGCCACACAAATAATATCACCACCGCACATGCCACCAACACCCTCAAGAGGGGTTTTCTCTAAAGAGAATGCTCCTGGTGCCCAGGGTCCAGATCCCATTTCCCCCAGAGTCACAATGTTTAGGTGGCACATGGCTGGCCAGAACAGAGGCCCCCTCTCCCACCCTCCCTTGCAGCCAGGTGTGGCCGTGTGGCTAAGTTCTGGCCAACACAGAGGAATGTCCAGCACATCCTTCCCTTTCTCTGAGCCACCCTGAGCTGTGCAGACAGGCTGCTGCATGGACTGGGGAGTCACAAGATGAAAAGAGCCCGGGCCCTTGCCAGCAGCCGGAAGCCCTGATGACTACATGGAGCAAAGCCACCAATCCAGGCTGGACTTGATGGAGGAGAGAGAGTAGTCAAGCCATTGTCGTGAGTGGGTCTCGGTCACACAGCCCTGAACCCGGCGGGGAGAAGCTCTAGCTGGCACCAAACCAAGCTCTCCCTCGGGAGCTGTGTCTGGGAGGCCGCGCCTTCCCCAGTCTATGCTCAGTGGCCAGAAGACGAAGCCTCAGCTCACGTGTCCGGGTCAAACGGGTCCCCATTGACCCAGTGGAACTCGTCCCCAACTCTGCGCAGACCAATCCAGGGCTCCCTCCGTGTGAACTTGAACATGAACTCCTGCACCAGGGAAGGAGAGAAACCTCAGAGTCAGTGCAGTCTCCTGACTGTTCACCCAGCCCCAGACGAACTTCTGCTTGGAAGACTCGCTCCCAAGATGGGTAGACACCAAGAAGGCGATGCCTCAGTGCATCCCAGCAGTGAGGAGCTGGGTTCCAGCTGCCCTGCTCTCAGACTCAGCTGCCTGCGATGGCCTCTAAGGGACCCGGGCTCGGGAGCCTGCCCACTGGGCCTGGAAGCCTGGAACAGGGTTCGTCCTCCCAGCTCAGCGGCCCGGCACGCCAGCATTCCTGACTTTCAGGGATCTGGTACTGCCCGCCTGATGGTTTATCTAGGACACATGTCAGCGCTCAGGCTGGTGGTCCTACCCGCTTACTCCTGGGCCTTTCTCTGCAGAAGAGGGTATCACACCATGTAACAGAGACAGACAGCAGCGACTTTTAGATTATCAGCTATTTTGGATTGCATGAATTGTTACCCTCCAAATCCAAAATGGCCAAGAGACCCATTAATTGTGTTTCTTTCACATTTCTAGTGACATTACTGTTTAGGGTATTAGCTGAGTGATCAGGCCGATTTGGGTGAATAGAGGATGCCAGTGTGATTTCATTTCACAGGTGTGTTCAGAATTTGCAGTGCTCACACTTTACCACACTGGGTTGAGTTCAGCAAACTAGCTGTGGATTGTAGTAGCTGGCCTGGACAATAGCAGTGGAAACAAGAGACCCCTGTGGACCTGCTCAGTTCCTGTGGGGCCTGCCTGTGCACCCCGCCCCAGGCTGGGTTCTGGAAACCTGTCATGGGGGACACCATGTCCCTGGGGCATGGCTCTCCTGAAGGTCCCTGTACCCGCACACTCACCAGCTCCTTCTGGCTCTGGATCACAGCCAGCGCGGCCTCGTGGGTGTGGCAATACTGCCTGCCCGTGTTCCAGTCTCTTGGTTCCTCAGAAAAGAAGTAGCATTTCCGTCCGTAGAGCAGCCAGTCCTCCGGGCAGGGTGCCTCACACTTGATGCAGCCCTTGGAAGCTGCAGGGAAGGCACGGGGCTCAGCATCGCCAGCACAGCGGCCCCCCAAGACTCGCACTACTCCCTCCCCTCGACTTTGGCCAGCCACAGGCTCGGGGGAGCGCCTGTCACAGTTCCTGGCAGGGAAAAGGCTGGTGGCTAAATGAGTAAGGAAGAGGAATTTGGGAGGCTGGCAGGGACACCATCACGAGGGGAAGTGACAGCAGGTGAGCCCATGGGTTAAGCTCTCCTCTCTCTCTCTGAAGTCCTCGAGGCATGGAACCCAAGAAATTCAGCGTGGGAAGGACCTGGAGGCCACGCAGCCTCCCTCCAGCCAGGGTGGGAACCATCCGCCGGCCCGATGGGCCCGCTCTCGTTGGCCACATCCTCATTAGCTAACACCACGACTGCTGGAAAGTTCCTTTTCACTTTTGAGTTCCAACCTGCCTTCCTGTGGCCCAGACCTGTGGGTCCAGCATCTGCCTCTGGAGCTACCTGGATGGAGCAAACCTAGTCTGTCGGCTTGCCCTCCAGATGCTTCTCCATCCTGCCTGGCCCCCTGAGCTGAGCCCACATTACCACTACAACGCTGCCACTAGAACACGCTGGGCCATCAGCTGTGGCCGCCACCAGCTGCGGCCATCCCCAAGCTCCTCCTGGCTGCTGTGAGCTTCCCAGCCTGCAGATCCTCCAATGGGAAGAATCTATGGGTGTGGGCATACATGCCCCTTTTTGGGAAGGAAGCCCAGAACTTCCATCAGATTCTCAAAGGGCCTCCTTGCCAAAAGGAATTCAGCCACAGTCTTCAACTGTTTCCCATAATCTCTTTGCAAGCCAGGTCCCTCCCGTCCAGAACATGTGTAAGTCAGGTTTAAATCCAAATGTAGAATCTTCTATTTATTTCTTCCACAGTCTTCATTCACATTGGCTCATCTGAGTTTTTAAAGATAAATTTTTTTAGAATAAATTTTAATCTTGAGTTCTTTTCCATCTGTCATATTAAGCACCCCTCTTTGGATTGTACCACCTACAAACCCCATACGCATATTTTTTTGTTTTCATATGAGGGATTGATTAAAATGGAGACTGGGACAGAGCCAAGAACAGGCCCATGGTACTCAAGCCCCCAAGAGACCTGCAGCCACACTGATGCCAGTTAATCAGTGGGGACTCTGGTGTCTCTGCTCACTGAGCTGCAGGTCCACCTGGGAGCACCCACCATGCTTTTCCATGAGGATCTCCGAAAAGACTCGAGCTTTACTGAAATCACCATATGCTATGTTCGCCCGCTGCCCTGTCCTCCCAACCTAGCAAGAGGACAAAGGAAACTGGTTTAATTTGTAATAATTAGTCTAGGTGAATCCAAACTTGCCCCTGTGGTCACCACATTCTTTTCTAAGCGCTTCCAACTCCCTGCTTAGCCTGCACGCCCTGCGGTACAAGTGAGGGTTTGGTGGGAATTGATCTTATCAGTGGATTTTCTTCCCACTTTGAGGTTTTATGGTGCTTCTCAGAGATTAAAGACAGAAGCCCTGAAATCACTTTGCAAACCCCTCAGAACCCATGACACACTTTGACTTGAATTCATTACAAGGAGCCAAAATCTCTGGTCATAGAGCCTCACCTGCCCTAGTAGCAGTTTCGTCCTTTTTCATTCTTCCTTCAACCATGTCAGTCCCATTTGCCACTCTGTGTCTCAGGCCTCTCCCCCTTGGAATGTCCTGTTCTCACTACCTCCTGGTCTCCGGGAAACTATTCATTCTTCACACGTGTTCCCCCTTCTGGGGAGCCCCCAGGCAGTAGCACCTCTATCACTGGACAGGGAGTTGATGTCATATTAAACTTTGAAAGAAATCCCCAGCACTTAGCCCAGGGCCTATCACACAGCTGGACTCAAAAAATGTTTGTTGAATATGATCTTTAAGGCCCTTATCCCCCAAATCATTTCTGGCAAGAAGCGTTGCCTGCCTGACCCACGCCAGGTTTGTTCTAAGTTCTCGAAGCATTTTTGTAATCATACCTAACAGCTCCACTTCTGTTGCATGGCTTAGTAAAAGGGACAGGAATAGTTGATGTGCAACTATATTTTAAGCTAAAATCTTATCTAGAACCAACGCCATTTTGTATTTACTTTGTCCCCCCCAGAACTGGTGGTACATCTGGAACCTTTCTTTACCTAGTTAGGCATGCTTTTGACAAGGTGTGGGGAAACTGAATTGCACACATGCTCTGACATCCATGCTCACCCAAGATGCTCATCACCACCAGGATGGCGAACAGAAGCACGGCGATGGCCCCCAGCAGGAGACGCGTGGTGGTGTCTGAGGAGAGAGAAAGGGGCTGAGTACCCGTCCACTCACCCTACCACCAGCCCCAGGTCCTCATAGCGAGGCTATGAGGTTAAAGCACTCTGTGTTTTAACAAGCCGTCCAGGCAGTTCTGACGCTGAGGGCTAAGTTGGGTCGCCATTCTAGAGTACAGGTCTGATTCTGCGATTCCCCTGCTTCAAAACCCTCCCTCCAGGGCTATGCACTTGAACTCCTTCTGTGGCTACTAGAGCTTTCCAACCTTGAATCTCCTGCTGCTTTTCATCCCCATCCCTGGTTTCAGCCAGACAGCCTCCTTCAAGTGACCTGTCCACCCTCACAACCCTGCAGCTGGGTCTTTGCTCCCAAAGTTCTCCTGCTGCACTGGTGCCCTACCCATCCACCCTTTCACGAACGCTTTCCTGACCCTCGCGTCTCCCTTTTACATTTGTATTTAGTTATCATTCTCATTTAAAATTTTAATTTAATAGTTAACAAAGGAACCCTTTTAGACGTCAGATGTAGGGTCTTTGAAAGGTTTTTTTAATTGTAATAAGATATACATAACATAAAAATTGCCATTTTAACCACTTTAAGTGTACAATCAGTGGCATTACTTATATTCACAATGTTGTGCAACCATCCCCACTGTCCACCTGCAAAGCTTTCTCATTACCCCAAAAAGAAATTCTGTACCAATTAAGCATGAACGCCTCATTCCCATCTCCCTCCAGACCGTGGTAACCTCTAATCTACTTAATGTCTGTAAATTTACCTCTTTTAGGTACCTCATGTAAGTGGAATCATACAATACCAGTCCTCTGTGTCTGACTTATTTCACTTTCCATTATGTTCTCAAGGTTCATCCATGTTGGAGCACATGGCAGAATTTCATCCCTTTTTATGGCTGAATAATATTCCATTGTATGGGGTTTGTTTGTTTGTTTGTTTGTTTAAATATATATTTTGTTTATCCATCCATCTGTTTATGGACAGTTGGGCTGTTTCCATTTTTAGGCTCTTGTGAATAATGTCGCTATGAATGTTGACAAACAAATTCCTGTTTTCGATTCTTTTGAGTATATACCTAGGAGTGGAATTGCTGGGCCATATGGTAATTCTATATTTAACTTTTTGAGGAGCCACCAAACTTTTCCACAGCTGCTGCACCATTTTGTATCCTGCCAGCAATGCCAACACACAAGAGTTCTGATTTCTCCATTCAACACTCGTTAGCCTCCATGTTGTTGTTGTTGTTATAGCCATCCTAGTAGGTGAGAATTCCCTTTTTAAAACCAAAGTTACATATGTGCACGGATGAAAGCAGCACCTCCACAGCCCAGTGCTGGTCTGTCCACCGTCACTGACCCACGATAAGTACCAACACTGCGAGGAAGTATCTAGAAACTTTTATAGCAATTCAGCATTGCTGTGACATCCAAGTGCAAGATACTCCTCCTAGTAATTCACCTGTAGTGTACTTCACAACAGACTGGGGAAAAGAAACCTGGTCCTTTATCAAGGATCTGAAAAGCAACAGATCTAAAGTCAAGAAATTCAACCCGACTTCATTAAACAAACCAAAACTGAACAACGAACACTGCCCCTTCCACAGAGGCAACCACTTTCAACTCTTTTAGCTAATTCTCTTGGTATTTGCCTCCAAAGCTTGAAATGCCATGTGTATGTCAGTACTCCTTGGCTTTTCTATTTAAGATGTTCTCTCTTGACTCCCCACAATAATATTGAAGATTTAATTCTCTGCATTCTCCTCCCACCCTGACCACTCACACACTTCCTGCTCTCTCACCATCATGGGTTTGGGTTAGACTGGTAATTTGGTGTTACCGTCCTATGGCAATACGGATGCTGCTCCCAGCACAGCCATGTAGATTATTACAATCTTTATTTCTACACGGCTTCCGGTTTCCCTGTAATTGATCATGGTCTTCTTTTCCCTTTGCTTACACTTCTGTGTACTCATCATTATGTCATCTCCAAAACTCCTTTCAGATGATGAGACAAAGTCAGGATTCTCCTTCACCTCTGTCTCAGTCTGCACAGGCTGCTATGACAAAATACCACAGACTGGGTGGCTTGAACAATAGACAGTTATTCCTCACAGTTTTGGAGGCTGAAAAGCCCACAGTCAAGGTACCAGCAGATTCCCGTCTTGGTGAGGGCCCCCATGACGCGACTGGTGCCCTTAGAAGATAAAGAGACACCAGAGCAGACAGAGGAAGCTCTCTATCCACTATTCTTTGCTTTTATGTTCTATTTTCTGAAGATTTTTTTCCCAACCCTATCCTCCCACTCTCTCTACTGAATCTTTTATTTCTACAATTATTTTTAACTTCTGAGGTTTTTTGGGGTTTGATGCTGCTGTTCTCTGAATACTCCCACTTAAAGCATCCTGTTCTTATTTTACTGATGCAAATTTTTCTCTTCTTCCTCTGAGGGTATTACTGATAGTTTTTAGTTTAGTTTTCTTTTTTGGGGGGGGGCAGGGAATGGGGGGAGAGGCAGACAGAAAGATTAGTCTGTATAGTTTCTCTTTCCTCCAAATTGCTTTTGTTTTTTTTCCTGTTCATTTGTTTTGGTCTCTAGCTCCCATGTCAGACTTTCCTCAGATGTCTGGAGATCCTTGGTCATTAGTACATGATGAAGGCAAAAGGAACAAGAGGGCATTGGCACCTCTGGGACCACAGAGGGGCTTGTTAACTGTGGGGGTCATGGCAGAGTGATCTGGCTGGGCTGGGCTGGTCAAGGCTTTGGGTATGTTGACCTCCTGGGGTCTTTCCTCTTGGGTCAGAGTCCCTGGATATTGCTCTTCTGTTTCCCTCCTGGAGGGTGTAGGCTTGGCCAAGAGAAGAGGCTGGGAGGCCATCCTCCGCATTCAGTACATAAACGTTGCCTTAATTGCTTGCTAGCAAATGTGTTGGTGTCTGGACGCCCTCTCCCTCGAGGGGAGCAGACAGGGGAGAGGCTCACAGGATGGGAAGGGGATCTGGGGTGCTGAAGTCTTCCTAAATAAGTGTTCATCCAGCCCTCGCGATTTCAGCTCCCTCTTCACTCACAGCCATGTGCTGACCAGTGCCCCATCTCTGTGCCGTGGGGGTGCTGTGTGTGACTCAGGCTCTCCTCTGCTTCCAGAACTTTCTCAAGCCAGTGGAGTCAGTGTGGTCATTGACCTCCAGCTCCCAATTTTGTTGCCGGTGTTTTCTCTCCCATTCTTCTTCTCCTTGTGGCCTTTAAAAAAAAATCCCTTTCCTGTTGTATCAGTGAGCTTCAGAAGGCTGCCTGTGGCAAGCACTATGAACCTTCCTTCCCCTTCGTCAAACACCTCTCAGTCCCCTTCTGTAACACTGGCACCGGAACCTCCTGTGCACTGAGGATGAGAACATAGCGTCGTAACCATTTCACCTGGTTCAGACCCCAGCGCTGCCACTTCCGACTGGCAAAGTTACTTATTTCATTTTCCTCATCTTGAAAATGAAGTCATAATCGTATCTGTCTCTTGGAAATTTATGAGAATTCAGCATATGGTGCTTAGAACAGTGCCTGGCATGGTCAGTGCTACTTCAGTGTTAGCAATGACCATTATGGTGGTTGTCAGCCGACAGGCTCCTTTAGGGTAAGGGCTGTGCTTTACTTACCTTAGGGTTCCGTATAACAGGGCTCAGTCACTGCCTTGCCTGTTACAGAGCACCCACTGGTACTGAAAACACAAAGGGAATTTAGCTACACTGAATCACAGTGCCCTTGGCCATGTGGATATCCACCTGCTCCCCAGGAAAGGGGAATCTGGTCATGCATCTCCAGCATCACCAGGACCAAGGACTCTTCACTTTTCTCACAGAGATAACTGCTCTGGACGCTGCCTTCTGGGCAGAGAGAGGACACATAACAGAGCCTGACTCATTGTTCACCATCTGCCCTCCCAGAGGACGGCTGTGGGGCCAGACAACCCAAAACAATGTTGTATTAGTTTCAAAGGTTGATGTAACAAAGCACCAAAAACGAGGTGGCTTAAAACACCAGAAATGTATTGTCTCACAGTTCTGGAGACCAGAAGTCCGCAGTCAAGCTGTCAGCAGCTCTGTGCTCCCTCTGAGACCTGTAGGGGACTCCTTTTCTGCTTTGTCCTCACTCCTCGTGGTGTGCTGGTGATCTGTGGAGTTCCTTGGCTTGCAACTACATCACCCCAGAGACTGCCTTCATCGTCACATCCTTATCCCTGTAACTGTCTTTTCATAAGGACACCAGTCATATTGGATGAGGAGCCTTCCCTACTCCACTAAGCTTCCATCTGAACTAATGACATCAGCAGTGACCATATTTCCAAATAAGGTCACATTCTGAGGTTCCGGAGGGTTGGGACTTCAACATATCTCTTTGCAGGGATACAGTGCAAGCCATAAGAGATGTCTAGCTCAGCGATCCTTCCTTCTATGCAACGGCCCTTATTGGATGGAGTTTGAGGGCCAGTTTATTTATGTTTATAAATGTATGTGCTTTAGTCTAATGTTAGAAGGAACAACTAAAAAAAGAAATCTGACTCCCAAGTCCAGCCAGCTCTCCCATCACCCTCACACCCACAGCCCAAAAGAGACTCACAGCTGACGTCTCTAAGTCACCAGGGCCAGAACCTGGCAAGCATCCTCTGGACAGTTCAAAACTATCAAATGTAGAGTTTGGTAATTTTAAAATTTTTAACAGGCTTTGCTAAATGCGTGTGTGTGGTTTTGGTCAGGAAGTTGTGGGTTTATGCCCAATCAAGAAACTTTCAACATTAAAAATTCAGAATTGGTGAGCACTGGAAAACCTATATAGCCTGAGGTCTGCAGAATCACTCTGTCCCCTCTGCCGAACCCCCAGGCTGCTTCTCCTCACCTCACCCCCAATGCCAGAAATATACCCATCTAGAATCACCTCCAGTCTTTCCAGAACCCAGGCAGGAACTTGGGTCAGTTTTCCAGCATTCTCCCCCAAAGCCAGGGGTAGAAGGAAAGGTTAGTATTCACAGGGAGAAGCTTGATCAGGAGAACTGTTTGG